TATAAAATGAAAAAAAATTTTCAATTCGACCAGTTTTCGCGAAGTTACGCTTATTTGAAATTCGCCAAATTTTGATGTAAATTTCTTGTTGCGTTAATTTTTTTGACCAGTGTAATATCTTGCTAAGATCGAAAAAACTTTGACACATCCATGATTTGTTGCATCAGACGATACACTAAAATATACACCGCTTTTCAAGCAGCTAATATGGCTTTCTAAAGAACTTGGTCCCAACACGGTGTGTGCAATAGCCGCTGCTTTGGTTCTTCCAACAGCAGTTTTCATAGCAACCTTTGAATCCGAGAATAAAATAGATGACAATTTTGCCTGGCATTCAAGAGATCTGTACGAAATCGTATTGTTGTGTCCGCGTCTCTTGATTGTCCCAGTGGGCACACTTGGGCAATGGAAGGAAAGCACACAGACTTGGAATTAGCGCACTACCTTTTATTCGGTATCTCCACAAAGAACCGTACTCGTGTCCGGCCGTACAGAGAGAGAGAGCCGGTTCGAGGCGCAACGCCTGTATATCCACGTACCGCACGCATGCGCCGTACACGACCTCCTCAGTGCGCATCACGCAGAATGCGCGCGAAGAATAAACGCGCTCACACAACACTCCCTCCGCTTAGAATACAAACACTTGGAAGTATTGTGTGGTTTCTAATCTAAATCTTTAAAGACCACATAATCTTTGAGATGCAACGGCAGTTTCCTGGTACGTACAGGTCTCGAAGTTTTCGGAGTCACGAAAATTGAAGTCTCCGAGTCCTCTGGCGACTGTAACGGCGTCGAAGTCACTAATGTCCCAGACGGGGACGCAAAAGAAGAACTCGAAGAATCTTGCCTTAACGAGGCCGTATTTGTAATAGGAGTAACCGGCCTTTCGGAGGCCGTAATCGTTGAATCTGAAACATTGCTCGAAACATTTTCTGTGACGCTAGGTAATCCAGCATCCGAACTGGCTAGTGTCGTAGAACAATTTGCACCAACGTTCAGAGGACCGGAAACGTCGAATTCTTCCTCCTCTCACTTTATCGGTGTAGGAGTACCAATCAATCGCATTTGATTTACATGGCGCTTCCATGTGCGCCCGTCATCTAATTGTACCTCATAATGTAACGTACCTAATCGCCGTGTCACAGTGCCAAATAACCACTTGTCGTTACCCGCGTAATTATGACAACTAACTCTCCTCCCCTCCTCGAAGGAAAAAGGCGTACTATCTGAATTAGACGCAAGACTAGGGAAACATCAGTACTGGAGGGTCGCAATAAATCCAATCTTGTACGTCGTTTACGCGAAAATAACAATTCCGCTGGGGATTTACCCGTAGTTGCATGAGGAGTCGTTCTGTACTGTAAAAGTATTCTAGGTAAACAATTATGTACATTCGCTGATTGAGTTACAACGCATTCTTTTTAAAGAATTTTTAAGTATTTGTACATATCGCTCTGCTTGGCCATTTGTTGCTGGATGGTAGGGTGCTGTTAATTTCTGAGTGATCCCGTTAACTTGTAAAAAATTTCTAAATTCTTTAGATGTAAATGTTCTTCCGTTATCCGAAACGAAATATTTTGGTAAACCATGTGTAGCAAAAATTTGACGGCATAAATCCATTGTCGTACGTGACATCATGTCTTTCACTATGTGGATTTCCGGTCATTTGGAAAATGCATCTACCAAAATGAAAAAGTAATGACCTAGAAAAGGTCCTGCAAAATCAGCGTGAACACGCTCAAATGGCACAGTACACGGTTCCCACATATGTGAATTATTTTTAGGAGGATCGTTCCTAAAAGCATTGCAATCATTGCAATCTGCAACCAAGTTTTCGATATCTCTATCAATTTGGTACCACCAGATATAACTTCTAGCTAAATGTTTCATCCGGACTACACCGAAATGACCAGTATGTAACTCCTGTAAAATTTTTTTCTGTAAAATACGGGAAATAGTAAAAACTACCCTATGTCCACGAAAAATAATGTTATTCTGTAAAGAAAATTCATGTGAATTAACTGTATAAAAAGTTTTCTCTTTTTCAGTATTCTTACCCGATTTAAGAATTTGTAATAGTTTAGACAACTCTTTGTCTGTCGCCGTAGCGGTAGCTACTTCCTGTGCCGTTATTGGCAACGTATCAAACGTACTTAATTGAAAAACATCCACCGGGTCTTGTACATCTGAATTGCGTGGAATAGGTAACCGGGATAAACAATCTGCATTCGAATGAAGTTCTGACTTCCTGTACTTAATATCATAATTAAAACCCTGTAGAAATAACGAGTAGTGTTGCATTCGTAATGCCGTGTAGATAGGCAAACTCTTCGTTGGAGAAAAAATTTGTGTAAGTGGACGATGGTCTGTAATTAATGTGAATTTAGAGCCTTGCAAATACTGGTGAAATTTCTTAACACCGTAAATGATCGCGTAAGCTTCCTTGTCAATCTGAGAATAATTTCTTTGAGCGGAAGATAAAGTTTGCGAAGCATATTGTATGGCTCTTTCAGAACCATCGGGATAGATGTGCGAAAGCACCGCTCTTACCCCATACGAACTCGCGTCCGTAGCAAGCGTAACTGGTAAACGCGGATCGAAATGAACTAAACATTTTGGACTAATAAAAGCTTTCTTCGCGTCCTTGAAACTCTTCTCACATTGAGATGTCCACTGAAATTCCGTATCTTTACGCAACAATTTATTTAACGGGTGTAAAATCGAACTTAAATTTGAAATAAATCTACGGTAATAATTAATCATTCCGAGAAAACTGCGTACCTCCGTAACGTTGGTAGGTCGCTTCATATTATGGATCGCTTCCATCTTTTCAGGAGCTTTATGTAAACCGTCTTTATCTATCACGTAACCGCAATACTGGATTTGCGACATGAAAAATTCGCTCTTCTCCATATTAACTCGAATATTGTACTTCTGTAATCGGCTAAAAACTAAACGCAATTTATTTAAATGATCTTGCCGATTTGTACCTGCTACTCGAATGTCATCAAGAAAAACCACTACGCCGGGGATATCCTTCAGAATATTCTCAATGGTGCGCTGCCATATTGCAGGTGCTGACGCGACACCGTACATTAAACGCGTAGCTCTGTATAACCCTTTATGAGTACTCAAGGTCAAAAAGGTTTGGTCCTCCGGTCGGACCTCCAATTGCAAGTAAGCCTATAGTAAATTGATTTTTGAGAAAACGGTACCGCCTGCCATCGAAGCAAATAATTCATCTGCTGTTGGTAGCAGATGCTCATCCACGAGTAAACGCGGATTAATGGTGACACTGAAATCACCATAAAGGCGTACCTGACCGTTCTTTTTTAAAACCGGAACAATGGGGGTTGCCCATTCTGACGAGTCAACTTTTTCTAGAATGCCCTCTGATTCTAAGCGATCTAATTCCTGCTCAACTAATGCGCGCAGACGAAAAGGAATTTGCCATGCTTTTACGAACACTGGTTTTGCGTTATCTTTCAATACAAGTCTAGCTTGAATATTACTGATTTTTTAAATGATCGGATTTGTAATGCCAGGAAACTCCCAAAACAAACTTTGCAACGACGGGTCTTCTATTACGTGAATTGATTGTAAACGTCCAAGCAATTGATGCATGTCTCCATGGTCTTTCAATTGCAGGATCCACTCTCTGCCAAGCAATGGTTCACGATCTCCCGTCGTAACGTACAAATTCAATTCGCGAGTCTTCCCCCTGCATTTCACCCGTACAACCAAATATCCAAGCAGATCGATAGGTTTCTTACAATACGAAATTAAATGTAATACGGTCTTGTGTAACTTTTCCTTTGGGAACAACCTCTTCGCGAGACACTGCGAAATCGAAGAAACTGCCGCGCCGCTATCTATTTCAAAACGCACGCGTTTTTCGTTAACGATTAACGACGTAAGTAACTTGTCCCGATACTGTACGTATTCGACTGCTAACACGTCAACACAGTTCGAACTCTGTTTATCCGAACGACACACCTTTCGAAGGTGACCGGTCTTACCGCATGAAAAACACTTAACCGACCTATCTAAAGTACAACGCGACGCAAGATAGTTCTTACCGCAACGATAACATGTAATATTTGACGAATTATTTACACGCGACTTTACATTTTTCTTAGACTTAGCTTTAGCTCGCCCACTGCCGTCGTTGCCTCCCGGCTTCTGGGTCGTCTGCACCTGGGCCACACCTACTTCTCCTTGCAAATTCTTGGTCCCCCTCTCGGAAAGCTCGATCGTAGCTGCTGTCTGGACGGCCGGATGCAGCGACAGATCCCTCATTTCCAGGAGTCGTCCTTGGGCCTTTCTATTTCTCAGGCCACACACGAAGACGTTCCGAATGGCAGTTTTAATGAAAGTGCCGAAATTGCACTTAAGAGCGATCCTATGCAAGGCTGCGGAATATTCCTGCGCGGTCTCTCCCTCCTCTTGTTTACGCTGATGTAATTTGTATACTTCAGCGATTTCGAGGGTAACGGGGTCATAGAATTCCTTGAGGATCCTTGTAAGTTCGTCGTAGCCAGTATCCTGTGGGTTTTGCGGACTGAGTCGATCAGATAGTATATTGAATGCAACTGCCCCCACATAATGTAGTAGATACGGCACCCGCGCCTCCTCGGTGATGCTGAAGATCTTGAACGCGCCTTCCAGGCGCATAAGCCACCGAGAAAATAGTCCCAACGCTGTATCGAAGGGCTCGATCGTAAATGTTGTAATTGGCGCTTTTGCCATGGTTCCACTCTCTCAATTTCACGATAAAGCACTCGCGAAATTTACTGGTGTTACCACCAGTGTTGCCAGGTCTACCGC